TCAAGTTGGAAGGACAGCAGCAATTTCTCTGCCCATTCTCAAGTCCAGGAAACGTCTCCTTCCACTCCCTCCTGTGATCCTAAGTCTTCTCCAGCGATGGTTCCTAATCACCAAAACATGGGTCTCCTGGTGCTTTTGCCTGATTGATTTACCAGCACCTAGCCACCCGTGTTCAAACCTTCGAGCTACTCCTCAGAAACCCTATACAGGGTCGCTATGAGTCGGAAATGACTCGACGGCACTTCACAACAACAACAACCGTGGGTGTTAATCACATAAACCTCTTAACCTGCAGTGCTGAGAAACCAGTAATATCAAAGAAAGAACTTCTGTCTGGGGATTTCAGATGGAATCTCAAAGTACATTTTCAACAGCTTAGATTATACCAAAAACTTATTTTTTTCAATTGCTCTTAGGAGTTCTATTCTGAGGTTAGAAAATCAGACCGAAGAAATGATTCACAGGACCCAGCTGTAATGCCTAGAAACCTGGGTGAATTCCTCCCTGCTTGATGGTCCCCAAATCTGCACAGGTTCTTGGTCAACCAAGAATAACCTTCACTAAGGCTGGGGAGCTTGGAGAAGCAGTTGGTTTTTTAATGGTTATTTTTCTCATGAATTTTATTATTTTTTTAATTGGGATTTGGGTGAACACTGAGAGCAAATTCTTTTTCCATCCAACAACCGATACACATTTTGTTTCGTAGCCTGGGCTGTGGCCCTCTTAATACAATAACACTCTTCCCCATTTGTCCTGGGTTCCTGTCTCCATTTGTCCTCTGTCCTGCCTTCTGAGCTTCGCTTTCGGGCAAACTGGAGTCTTAAGAGCTAGTTAGCGGCCATCTAAGACGCAACTACTGGTCTCTTCCCATCCAGAGCAAAGAAAAATTAAAGAAACCAAAGACTTGAAGAAACATTAGTCCAAAGATGACCAGTGTCCAGCAGTGTGAGGCCAGAACTGAATGGTGTCTGAATACCACCTACCGACGTCTCCAATACGGACCACACAGAGTCCTGAACAGAATAGAAAAACAAGAAAGGACAAAATTCAAAACCGGAACAAGACGAGGCTCGCTGGTATGACAGACACTGGTGGAACCCCAGACACCGTGACCTCTAGACAAAAGTCACCCCAGGGGTCACAAACACGACAGGCCTACACAGTGAATAATAATAACCCTGTGAGGAACATACCCCTAGAACAATGAGAAGCCTTTGTAAGGGGGGGCTGTGTGTGTGTGTGACAAAGACAAAGGAGATGGGTGCTGGTTCTGTGGATTTCGGGGTAGGGTGGGGAAGAAGACTTCAGGCAGAGAGAAGTGTTAGAAATAAGCCCTCCAAAGAGGTGGGTGACGAATATATTTATAACAAGAAAGAGCTCTGAAGCTGCTATGGACAACGGACATGTCATGGGATTTGGTTTATTGGTTTAGAGATTTAGGGTCATGGTTTCGTGGGACATCCCAATTAATTAGTCTAATACTTTGCTTAATGATTCTGTCTACCTCCTAGTTTGCTACTCAGTGCCTTAAAAGCTTTCAAGTAGTCATCAAAATACAACAACTGGTCTCTAGTCACGTGGAACACAGCAGAAGAGTCCGGAACAGGAGGTAAGATGGAAAGTGTGGCCAATCGCCTCTATGAATGACTGCCTCCTTCCTCATGAGACCAGAACTGGATGGTGTTCAGCTCCCAGCATCCATGACTGAACACGTGAGAAAAGATTCTGTAGCAGAATCATGATCAAAAGGAGGAGTATGTAGAACAGAACCTCAAATTCTCATGGAATTCAAACATTCTGAAGCTCCTATTGAGACACTCTTTTTAAACCTTAAACTAAATCTCTCTCCTGAAGTCTTCATCATACTAAGCAATAGCTTTGTGTAAGCAGTATAGAATACCTGTCTTGAGCATTGTGATCTCATAAGATCGATCTCTAGAGGATCGGATTGACAACAACCATTGCTCTGTTTACTGCTTCATGAGATGCAAAGATGATAAAATCTCAAACTCAAAGACATTTGAAAGCAAAATTAATATTTTACAGCAACTAACATTTTGTTTGCTGCTTCAGCAAAAAACAAGTGTCCACCTGTTACTAATTTCTTAGGAAAACAAGGCCCGTTGCATTTCT